GTCACTATTCCTGCAGCCTCTGGGCACGACCAGAAAATTTGGGCGCGTGCTTTTGAAGGTCTGCGGCCCTTTAGTGTTACCTTATGCACATGGTTCGCGGTCCCTGATTACAGTTCGTCGCGGTTTATTCGGGAGGATAGGATATGACCATCCTATCAAAGCATCCGCACCCTAAATCATGATCAATTCTCTGTGCCGGATTGTGTGCCCATTGCTCATGCGTCATGTCTTCAACTACAGAGAATCACGTTGCTGACCACGGTCCAGATGTTGGCGGCGAAATGGCCACGCCGTTGCAGGGATCTGCGGTCGGGTCTGGCATCCCAGCGGCAGCTTGATCTATCGACTCTCGGCCTACCAGCCGTGGCACGTCTCAACGGCCGTATTCCGTTCCCAACGACAGCACCGGCCGGGCGCCGTAGCCGCCCGTACCCGGCGGGTCATAACGGAACAACACACGACCGCTACCGCTTTCGACACTCAGCCGCTCCGTGTCAGTACGACTTCGGAGATAAAGACGCTGCGTTCGCGCACGTCCTCATGAGAGTGCAGCCATGAGAACTTCTCCAGCTCACACACCGGTCACGGATGGCTGGCTCGCCTGCCGCCGATAGCGACAGCAAGGTCCCAACCGGCGATGCATTACTAACGATCACCGCGATGATCGGTTCGCACGTACGACCGGTGTGGCTGGCGGCGTCGTCCGGCTGCCGTGAGGTCATGTCGTCAGTCGCCAGACGCGCCCGCTGGCTGCAGGCCAGGGCGCGCTGACCCGGTCACATTCCCGCAGTGAGATACGGAGCCGATAAGATGTCCAGCACCCATCCGTGACCGGTCAGATGACCTCCATGCGGGAGGCAAACGCCGCGGGAAACACGCAGCTAACTCACAGGCTGCTCGCTGTCTGGCGAAAGCAAACGGCTTCGCCTGATTTTTTGCTGTGGGCGGATTCAGGCGCCCCCAAATATCGCTCCGTAAAGGGATCAGTCCTACAAAAAAGTTTGTGTAAGTGGCCGGGGCGGGGTGCATTAACGCAGATGAAATGTCATTGCGCTTTTATGCTGGGGTTGAGCTTTAGTCCCAAGCCTTCGCCGAAATGCGCCATTACATCAGATTGCCACTAGTGTGCAGCACTGACTAGATCCACGACACATATACGCCAGTGAAGTGGCGTTTCATATTCCTCTGGACTTCTGGTCACTGCCCAGTTTCGTCGCTGGATCGGATCCGCTTGGAATCGTACCTTCCAGCGCTGCGTTCGTGCTACTGAAGAAAAGGGGTACCGTTGGAACGAGCATTGCATGCAGAGGTATCAGGAGTGTCAACAACGTATGTTTCTGACTCTGGCCATTTAGTCAATCATCAGTCAATACATTACCCGACTGGCGTGGGGTGGGTAAGGGCGAGTTGTGAGGCGTAGGAGCGGCGTTACATTTGCTGCTAATACGCATGAACTAAGCCCAAAAAACATAGTTAGCGGTGATGGCAAAGCCTGGTAAAGTAAGTCACGTCATTTGTTGGTGATCATCTAATCAGAAGTTGATCCCTTTTTCACTGAATTTAGTCCCTAATGTGAAGTGAACAGTGGCATTTCGGCTTAAACTGGATCCTGTGACAGCCCGGGGTCATCTTCACGCGGTGCGAGGAGATCCAGGAGTTTTATGGACGCGACAATTGGAATCAGAAGGAAGGAATACAAAGGCGCTGGGGGGATGGACTTTCCCAATGGAGGGTATTGAGGGTATGTGTATAATGGCCTATGTACTGTGCGTTTGTTCGGGAATACGACTGCGCCCTGGGGCGTACTTAATGTGAGCGCATGCCATTTGTGAATTTACGGCAGTTTAGAAGCCTTGCAAATAGCGCATGTGAGATACCGAGCTGTCGTTATACTTCAAAAACCAGACAATCATCAGCGATTTGTGTGACATAGTGTGCCTTCTTGTATCTTGCGTAACGACATGTTGGAGAGCGAGAAAACTCGTCGCATTTAAAAACTTTGCAGTTATTATAGATTGTGGGTTGCGTGTGCTCATATCCTAAGTCTCAGCGGCGTCTGCAGATGGGCACATGATGGTGGTGGGCAATAGTGACCACGACCCAAGATTTTCTACAAAAACAAAAGGTTCTGACGCACCGTAGTTGCGCAAATGTCTTGCACGGCATATAACAAGATTATGTTTTTTTCAATCTGTGCATTTTGTCTGCGCCCACCTCGAATTGTACATTAATGGCAAGGGCGCTTATTGAAACATGTAAAAATTTCATTGGGTAGTTCGTGCCTCGGTACCACTTGAATACAACATTGGCTTATATGTTCAGAAAGAATGTAGAGAAATGACGCGGAACGCATGCGTGAGGAACCATAAAAGAAGAACTTGGGAGCTGGTCGATCCACAACAAAATATTGGAATTATCTATCACGCTTTGGTGACCAATGCACTTGGTGATTCCATTTACGAACCGGGTGCATGACTTCGCTCGTCTACAAAGACATGAATTACTGTGTTTATCAGCAGCCTATTTTTGGCTTTCGCGCGTTAACTCGTCGATCCCTTGAAGTAACACCTTTTTGACATCTTTTTTGTTGACTTTTCCATTAATATTTTGTTCAGTTAGAGTTCGCATTTTGCTTTCCATCCTTGACTTCCTTCGTATCTCCCTTGCTCTCTATCCATTTTGATCTCCTATCGACTTTTCGTCATGTAAGATTAGTAGCGCTCGTAGTAGCGGTCGTCTTGCTTTGAAGCCGGCAACGAATGGAAGATTGTCCACTGTCGCGCCTTAACATAGTGTTATGTGGACACAGGTTACGGATCAAGGTCAAGGTCAGTCACCGTCAGCTTTTAACGCGCTGAAACCAAAGGTGACATCTTTTTACTCTCGGTTTTAATCTCATCCCTGCGCACTGTCAAGATCGCCAGTGACGAAAGTTGTCCGACGACCGCCGGGCCCTCCATCGCCACTAGCAAGCGTTGCATAGGCATGAGGCAGATACCAAATGAAAGAATGTTTTTTTTCCGTACCAGATACTTCCAGACGGTCTTAAAGTCAAGGCCAAGTCTGGTCAGAGTCAATTTGTACCATGGTCAAACTCGTCCAAGGTCAAGTGACGTTGAAAGTACTTCATTCTATACGACATTTTTACCCTCCCGAGACACGTACTTTTTGCACTTGATCTGAGTCTAACCATAATTTATTAAAGTTTTTCTGTGGAAGTAGCATCTTTATGTACTTCTATAAACACGTTTTGAAATGGCAGAACTGCTATATGTGTGCATCCTTGGTCAGAACGCATTTTCCGAAAAGTAATGTTCTTGGAAGCATTATAAATATAAATGGGCCAGATTGTTCGCTCCGAATATTCTGCATGCAGTTCATAGGTGACTGGTTAACAAGAAGTAAATTTAAAGGACCGTGGCATAAAGTGAATAAAGAGCGCTTTCTTGCCACACATAGTCATTTTCCAGTTCAAGACATATTAGGATGATGCAGCATTGCTGCAAAAGGTTTGTCGATGGTTTCATCAGTTAGCACTGGAGAACGACATTTGGTGATAGGTAGGGGACACTATGTGAGTGCACCTCCGGGCGTGCATATATGGAGACCGCATCCAAACTCCTGGGTAATCTCTTTTGAAAGATCGCCGTCCAAGTTTAGCCGTTATCACGGACTGTGCAAGTGAGCAAGAGGACCGTTCCATGCATTGTGTAAGATCTAGGTGGCAGTTAAGTGTGCTGGAAATGGTCGCACCAAGCGTTAACAGCTGAACGATTTATGACAGCCCTGGAGCCTGCGAGGACAGCTACGAAGAAGACGGAGAAGCGATCCGTTAGGCGGAGCTTGCCTGGGATAGATCATCAAGCATGGCAAGGTTTCAAAGTCCCCTTAAAAAGAGTGAGAGCCGCCGATGGAACAAAAATATTGAGACCCCACTAAGCCAAAAATCGACGACGTGAGACGAAGGTATGTGCTCATCCATGCACAGGGCACCATATCTGAACTATCTCCAGATATGTATCCAGGATGCGAATTGCACTAACGCCAAAGTGCTGTTGTAAATGAGCACCGAGCGCCGTTGTCGATGTGTGTTGTTCCGCCGCTTCCGACATACGTTTTGCATCATACACACCCAGCCGCACAACCACACACAGCAAGGCCTAAATTCGGAAATAAATGTTCAACGTTCTTTTGGAAGCAATGCCAACATCGAATAAAATGATGCCTATTTCGAATAGATCTGAGGAGAATGTCATTGCGCACTGAATCATGAGCCACTGGACAAGACTTCGCACTTCAACGGGCCTCGCTCCGTCCTGCCAAATGTTAGGAAAACGAGGACGGATCTTCCTCGTCACAACCACGGCACACATTACTACATGCTCACCAGCACGGTCAGTTCGAGAACAGCCGTGACCAGCGGACGGCGACCCTGCCTCCCTCGGAGGCGGCATGCCCGGCTGACCCGCGGATGATGCTATCGAGGCCGCCGGGCCGGCAAGCCTCGGCGGTGGCGCCGCCGGTCGGGATGGCCGCCAAGGAATTCGGAGCGTTGCAACATCCCCAGACGGCAGAAAAATCCCGAGGCGCCCTGGCGGCGGCAGATAAGTTCGGACACAGGACGCACCGGGCCGTATAAAAGCAGTCGACCGCACGTCCTGGACATCAGACCACCTGATTCCACCGCCTCCATCACACCACCGCTGGTAGCCCGCCATCATGAAGTGTCTGGTGCTCGTCTGCCTGTTCTGCTGCGCCGTAGCCTTCCCGCTGGAGGATATCGAGGGCTCAGGCGATATCGAGTTGGACGCGTTGCCGGAGGTGGAGACACGCTTTGGCGGCCCGTCCGCGCCCAGTGCTGACATAATGAGCCAGAACTTCGACACCGACGAAGAGGGCAACTTCAGCTTCGGCTTCGCCAGCAGCGACGGCACATCGATGGAGACGACCGGCGGCCAGAAGCGCATCGGCGACGGCGTCGGCACCGTAATGAGAGGCAGCTACTCGTTCAAGACGCCTGAGGGGCAGCAGGTGACCGTCAACTGGGTGGCGGATGAGAATGGCTTCCGGCCGACGGGCGACGTCATTCCCCAGCCGCCTGCCTACGTGGCCGATCTGCTCAAGGCCGCTCCTGCCGTGGAGAGCTCCCCCGCAGTTGATGAGCCTGAATCTGTTGTTGATGAGCCTGAACCTGTTGTTGAGCTTGCCCCAGCCTCTGAGGAGGGTGCGCCTGCCATGGAAACTGCACCTGTTGGTGATGAGCCTGCACCTGATGCTGATGAGCCCGCACCTGTTACTGATGAGCCGGCACCTGTTGCTGATGAGCCTGCACCTGTTGCCGATGAGCCCGCATCTGTCTCCGAAGAGTCTGCGCCTGTTGCTGATGAGCCTGCACATGTTGCTGATGAGCCCGCACCTGTTACTGATGAGCCGGCACCTGTTGCGGATGAGCCCGCACCTGTTGCCGAGGAGTCTGCACCTGTTGCTGATGAGCCTTTATCTGTTGCCGATGAGCCCGCATCTGTCTCCGAAGAGTCTGCACCTGTTGCTGGTGAGCCTGCACCTGGTGCTGATGAGTCCGCGCCTGTTGCTGATGAGCCTGCACCTGTTGCTGATAAGTCTGCACCTGCTGCTAATGAGTCCACACCTGCTGCCGATGAGCCCACACCTGTTGCTGATGAGCCCGCACCTGTTGCTGATGAGCCTGCAACTGTTTCTGATGAACCCGCACCTGATGCCGATGAACCCGCACCCGTTGCTGATGAGTCAGCGCCTACTTCTGAGGAAATCGCCCCAATTGCTGAGGAGCTCGTCCCTTTTGCTGACGAGATCGCCCACGCAGCTAACGAGCTCATACCTGCTGCTGATGAGATTGCTAACGAGGTCGTCAATGCCGCTGACGAGACCGCCCCGGTTTCTGACGAGCCTGCACCTGCTTCTCAGGATGTTGTCATTACTGCTGACGAAGCGTCTGCTGTTAATGTATAGCCAATCCTTTGCCCGCAGCCTTCAAAGCTCTATCACTGTAGCTTTCCGCACCTATTCGCTGTTTTCGTTGCGTTTCCGTTACCACAAATCTCACGCAACTCGGGTTTTGACGGTTCTTTCATGACTTAACCACTCGAGAGCTGTGAGGATGCGTCTTTCGTCGATCGTGCAGGTGTAGTTTGTTGTTCTGCTTATGGTCATGTGTATAACGCGAAAATATATGCCTTATATGGGTAAAAAGCATTGTCGCTGCGATATCAGAGCGCAACGCTGGTCAGGTCAGGTCAGCTGGTCATAGCAGGTCAGGCCGAGCCATCTTTGTCAGGCCCGGGTCTCGGCGAACAGCCTGCGCCGTGCTCACGGCGCGCAAACTTCGCTGCGCAACATCGCTGCTGGAGCTAACGAACGAAGACAATATATAAATTCGTGCCTCTCGGGGAATATCTTGCAAAATATGCTCCAGGAGTAAAGTTAGAGGCGGCCACTGACTTCATAATCTCCTGGAATGTATCTCGCACGTTTACAGCCGATGCCGGGGGGGGGGGGGGAAGAGCAGAGACGCACGGACATAGCAGCCCGGGGGAGGGGGGGGGGGGGGCACGTACCCCTCGCCCATCACGTGACAAAATAATGCCAGAATATTAGTAGAAATTACATTCAGAACAGGTCATGTTGTTTTAAGACACAACAAAAATTGTGCGCGCTTCCGGCGTGCTACTTTTGGTTTTAGTGAAAACTTGTATCCCTTACAGTGAATGCTACGCATGCTTCTGCCTTACCGCTAGGCCCATATATTTCATTACAGATAGATGCCTCCCGACGGAGTAAAAATCAGTGCCATGCGCCCTCACTGAGCTCCTCTCCCTTCCCCGCCAACAAATTCACACGCGCTTAAAGGAAGTGTTCCACATTGCTATAGCGTTTTACCTGGAATAGCCGTGGTGAAGTCCTTTTGGAGCAGTTCACAGCACTGCCCTTCTTAAGACCTAAGCCCGGTTTACTTTCTGAGCTAACGCCCGCAAAGGTGTACAGGCTTTTTCGAGGAGACTATTTTAAGATCACTACGGCATTCATGACGCGGTGATAACGTCATTCAAACCAAGCCATTCCATCGGCCATGCAGCGATCAAGGTCAAGAGAATATAATTGTCGAGTCGTTCACATCTGGGGTTCATGAGCACGATTTCCAGATATAACGATCATTACTTGGCTCTCAATCAATGTTGAGCAAGGTACGATGACGTACCCAGACAATGACACATTGAGGGGCATACTTACCAGAAAGAGAACCTGTGTTGTCTAGAGCAGTCTTTTTCTCTTAAAAGTACACCAATAGTCATAAGTGAGCTTAATTTATCACGCCTGATGCTTGCGTCATTATCTTCGAATGCGTTACATTTATTTCAGTACGCCTGCTACCAAGAATGTGCTGGTGCAACAAAGTTTTCGTGCATGAACGAAACCTTGCCCATGTCCATGCACGGTGGTCAAATTGGGCAGTTCTGTGCCCCACGACGTCATTCGTCGGAATAGAGAGGCGAATTCGGCTACGGTATTCCGCTATCAAGTAAAAGCCAACCCAATAGGTAAAAGTTGGCTGGGAAGTGGTACAGAATCTCAAATATTTGGACGATCTTTGGATGTTGTGAATGCCGGTTGTTTCGTTTCGTTGTTTCGCCGGACGCTTTGACCATGGAACGGTAGAACCCTCGATGTTTCAATACGCAGCCCAGGGAACTCCGCATCACGCAAACGTTAACGGGCAAATTTCGTTTTTTTAGGCATCAGAATCTTTCCAGCGCAAAAGATGCGTCTGTCAGAGAAGACCTGACGTCTCAAGATCACCATTCAATGTCGAATTCAAGGTCAAATAACGGGGAACAAATGTTAACCAAAGATGAACAGTTATCCGAACATTTTTTAAGGCGCATAGAAACGCCCGTCGAGAGGCCCTGACCCTCCAATGCCACTCTTCAATGTACATTCAAGGTTGAATGACCGGTAAATACATATCACCCAAAAGTAATCAACCGCTTGTCACCTTTAATCATCGAAATCCTCTTCATAGCATTAAACGGCGGCCGTTTAAAAAGCCTCACCTCTCAGGGTCACCCAAGATCAAATTGAATGCCAAATGTTGGGAAGAGCATATAATTTAAAGGTTTAATTTAGCACATGACTTTTTGGCGATATGGAACTGCTCTGCGTTGGAATTTGAATTTGACATTGAAAGCTATCCTTGGCAGGTCACCTTTTCTTGAAAATCACTGGGTTAAGCGCTGAAGAATATTTTCATGCCTGAAAATGAGAAACTTGCCCCGAATTTTTGGGTGATACTGAGCTACCCTCCATTTGACTTTGAATTCCCTCTTGAAGTGCGACCTTGGCAGGCCAATGTGCCGAAGGTTTAATCAGCCTGAATTAGCAGACAACTCTTGGGTGGTATAAAGTTCCCGTCACTGGAACTTCAATGGTAAAGCCGAGAGGTCTGGGCATGTAGACAGAAGCTTGTTTGTGCGCTGAAACATATTCATGGGCTTGTTGGGCAGTAAGTTATGGGCGATACACCCAAAAGCCGTTATTTGACCATTGTTATGACCCTAGCGGCCTTCAGTGGTCAGGACGATTTGACGGGCGCTAGTTTATGCCTTGAAGAAGACTCTGATGCTCATGAATTCAAAATCTTGATGGTAACTTGATGGATCAAAATCTTGATCCGGTAACTTGATGGATGGTATGAACTTTCCCGTCATTTGAACTTGAGAATGTTCTTTAAGGGTGACCTCGAAAGGTGAGTTTAGGACAGATGATAGATGATGTACAGAGGATGATTCTGATGTTTTAACCTCTGAAATCGGCTGAAAACGTCTGGCGGATATTGAGTTACCTATCATGTAACCTAGAATTGGCTTTGAAGATCTCGAAACATTTGAAAACAGACGCCACATTCGGCATTGTCATACTGCAATTGATCGGCGTTTATTGCGTTTCCGTTGGAACAGAACTCACCGCTCAGTAAGTCGCTAAATAAATCGATAAGAAAACCGCACGGTATACGCAAACTAGTAGTGCCGATTCCGCGCAATAGGTGGTGCCAGTTGAGGGAGCGCGTGATCAGCATCGGCGCGGACGTGATCGGAGGCAATCGCGATGCGTAACAGCCTAACGCGCAACAACAATAATAGAGTTTGAGGAGGAGCGCGGAGAGGCAATACGGTGGGTGCGGGTTGGAGAAAACAAATTGAAGGTTCAGCCTTATCCGAGACAAACAAAAACGTCTCGCTGTTCAGTGTTGGAACCTGTTTACCGGTATTGGGAAAGAGGAAATGGCTCTCCAGTGTCCAATCTCTGAACAAACCTCCAGACCTGGTGGGCCCTGTGTTTCTGGTTATGCCTTCCCATGGCAATGCCGGGGCTTAGCTAGGATGGCTTTTTGTGTTCTTCATAGGTCTCTCAATTCCTATTTATGTGTTGGGCATCTTTATGTCATCTGGGGCTTACTGTTGAGTGAATAGCCTGGTTTGGGCTTTCCGAGGGCTCTTTTTTCTCTTTTTGGACCATCTTGTTAGATGGTATGTTCTACCTTGGTCCATTGGTGTCTCATGATCATGAAAAACAATGCATATCTGGGAAAGATCAGATGTTTTGGAAATGTTGAGATAAGCCATCACAAGAAGGATGGATTAGTGTTTAATGGATGCTGAGCACTGGTTGATGGCTTTTAACTTAGGCCTCAGCCCTTCAAAAAAACATTTCAATTCTCAACCATCCTAAACTAAGAAGAAAAGGAAATGTCCCAGATTGACCATGACATTGTTAACCAACAGCTGCATGTAACAGAACATGTTGCTCTTGAAATATTGTGGGGCCAGCATTTATAGCTCTTGATCATATGTTGAGCAATAGCATACCTAGTAATATCTTTGCAAATGGGAGCAACATATATTCATATATTGAGTGGATCCCTGATATATTTTAACCAAGATTTCCTGTCTAAACAACTTGTGTTTATGTGCATCAATCAGTTACCTAGGTAGATTCCATGCCACTGTTTTTTTCCTCTAGGGGCTTTTTCCTTGTTATATTTTGCAGTTGGGAAGTGCAGAGTAATGTCAAAAGGTCTAGTAGTTGTCAGATACATAACCAAGCAGAAGTTCACAACATTTTTCTCCAGCCATATTGCCTGACACTTTCTAGATCTTACCACATGTATGTTCCTGGAACATTTTATCTGATGTAAAATGTTTAGCATGCCAGTTTTTATACTCAGTGCACCATGTGCATATTTGAGTCAAAAGATCTGGGAGCAGATGTGGTAATAATATAACTCATGATGATTAATAATAGTGCACATTGAAAAAGTTGGGTGTTATGAAATCACATAAAATCTAAGGGGAAATAGGTCAGAAAAAATCATTGAAGGGTATGGCCCCAAAATAGGCACAACCAGAATATCATGCTTTTTAAAACTATCACCAAGGTCTGTTGTTTGGTATGAGATATGGAAGAATGAAATGGGACTGCAGTATCAGATGATTCCTGTTGGATGTCTGGCATTCCCTGCCTAACACTGACTTGTGGCAATGTCACTGACATATGATTCTGAACATGTGAGGTTCTTAAAAGGTATGCTTGCCCTCTGTAAGAAACAATGGACCCCAATTGTGAAACCTAATTGAAATTCATTTTCCATGCTGTGCAATACTGCTGTTTTGATCAATGTTCTTCCCATCTCCATGACAGAGTCTTGTCACTGTGTGGATTAAGATTATTGATGTTTCTGTGATATGACAGTTTAGGCAAATCACAGTTTACTTTCAGAATTTCTGGTCACCAATGCACACAATGAGTGCTGGGGTTGAAGACGACCAGAAGGAGCCATATGACCAGGAGACAGATGAGGAGGAGGATCAGCCCCACCCACTAGGGGGTCCGGAACGCGAGGAAGAAAATGAGGAGGAAGATGACCTGGGTGGGCTAACAGAGACTGAACGAGAGGAGATCGAGAGGCTCAACTCGCAGATCGACCACCTGAACGTGGCACTCGACGAGTTTGAACAGAAAAACTCGGACTTGCAGCAAAAGCTGCTCGACTTTCTGTCTCGAAATTCGACAAAGGTTC